CTAGAGAAATTAAATATTTGCAGAGAATTATGGAATAGTCTAAATTTTGTAGTATCTAGAACCATCCATTGGTAAGTATAAATAGGGGATGATATTGCACATTTGTAAATAACCTAAGAACAACCCAAATAAAAGAGTCTTCTTCCATAAAAAAAAATTCTCCAACCCTAGCTTCCTCTTCTTTAATGAAATCTTCTGATCTTAGTTAACGATCTTGGGCTAGCAGAAGGTCCCTTGATTATACCTTTTTTCTTCTGCTATTCTCTACAGCCATCTTTTTGAGAGAATAGAGGTTGTGAAGGCATTTTTCGTCGGAAAAAGGGAGAGAATCTTAATAATAAGAGTGTCTGGTAACTTACTGATTCGATCAACTCTTCTCATTTTGCTTCTTTGTTTCTTTGGGATTTGGGAATAGAGTCTATAGATCCATATTTTGGGGGCTAGGGTTTTAATTGTATCTCTATTATTAGTGTTCAATTATGTATACTCTTTTGGCTGCAGAAAGGCTTGCTAAGGTTTTGATGATTTTCCCTTTTCTATCCAACACACCTTTTGATTTTAATAAATTTTCCTTTTCTATTAAACAAACCTTTTGGTTTTAATGATTTTTCCTTTTCTATCAAACACACCTTTTTATTTTAATAAATTTTCCTTTTCTATCCAACACTATTTGATTTTAATGAATTTTCCTTTTCTATTAAACAAACCTTTTGGTTTTAATGATTTTTCCTTTTCTATTAAACACACCTTTTGGTTTTGATGATTTTTCCATTTCTATCTAACACACCTTTTGGTTTTGATGAATTTTCCTTTTCTATCCAACACACCTTTTGGTTTTGATGAATTTTCCTTTTCTATCCAACACACCTTTTGGTTTTGATGAATTTTCCTTTTCTATCCAACACACCTTTTGGTTTTGATGATTTTTCCATTTCTATCTAACACACCTTTTGGTTTTGATGAATTTTCCTTTTCTATCCAACACACCTTTCCTCTTTGGATTTCGTTAGGGCTTTAAATTGAATGAACACATTTGTTCATGTAAAAACATGACCATTATGAAACAATCACGGAAGATCAGATCAGAATGAACAAGTTGTGCATTGGTGTTTTCTTCTGCATGCCTATTTCTAGAGAGCGCTGGTTGTTCACAATTAAGAGCTATTTCTTTAAGTTTCATTTATATAAAATTTTCCCCATCCAATGCATCTTGAGAATCAATGGAACTGGATGGCTTGTTTTCCAAGTCTTGCGGTTCAAAAGATCTATTTTATGCTATCTCGTTATTTGCAGGTGAGCTTTGGATTACAATGGAATTGGATCACTTATTTTCCAAGGCTCGTGATTCAAATTATCTATCTTCTTTTATCTTGTTATTTGCAGGTGAACTTTGGATTATACTTCTCCGGAGTGCTGGATAATGTGGTGTTCTACTCGGAGCATTTGCAAGAGATGACAGTTGCGAGATCAATTTACTAGATTGAGTATGATCTAGCTCAAACCAGAAATGATGTTGCTTAAAATAGTTGCCCTTAATTATTGGTCTAAATACATCTTCTGACAGTGGTACACAAACTATTTTAAGCAACATCATTTCTGGTTTGAGCTAGATCATACTCAATCTAGTAAATTGATCTCGCAACTCTCATCTCTTGCATAAGCTCCGAGTAGAACACCACATTATCCAGCACTCCGGAAAAGTATAATCCAAAGTTAACCTGCAAATAACAAGATTAAAGAAAATAGATTTTTTGTACCACTAGACTTGGAAAATAAGCCATCCAATTCCATTGTAATCCAAACTTCACCTGCAAATAACGAGATAGCAAAAAATAGATCTTTTGAACCACGACTTTGAAAATAAGACATCCAGTTCCATTGATTCTCAAGCTGCATCGGATGAGGAGAATTTTACATACATGCAACTTAAGGAAATAACTCGTGATCGTGAATGGTGAGCGCTCTCCAGAAACGAGCATGAGAAGAAACACCAATGTAGGGAGGGATGAGTTATAAATTTATCATAATGCAAACATCATCTTGTTCCTTAGTGCTCATTAGTCGCCGGAAACATATCACACCAAAACTCGCACCTGATCTAGCTTTAAGAAAGAGAACTGTAATGGGGCCAGTATATGTCATAGAATGGTAGGCTAATGAACAGTCCAGCAAGAAAATGTAGCTAACAAGAACCTTTTTTTCTTGACGAACGATACATAAGGCACCATTTACTTTATTAATTTTTCGTGTGTTTAGCAATGACTTGTATTTTCTCATGACAAGACAATTAAGGCTGCTGGCGGTGCAGAACGAATTAATATGTGGCCACATAATTAAGCCAGCCATTGAAAGGTGACTAAAACACTAGAAACCAGGACTACCCGAGCTAATGATTGAGGCAAAAACACATTTCGGACTGTCCCATTAATTGAGGATTGGGGAATTGCTGTGATTCTTCCTGAATGGACTAGATATTTTATTCCATCGAGAGTCACTTTGAATCCTATCCCTGCTAACCAAGTTCATTCCAACTCCCCATGAGCTCATATTCGCTAAGAGAAGAAAAGCTTATTCCAGCATTTCCAGGGGAAACCGAACTCAAGTGAACTTAAGCCGAATCTGCATCGCACCTTTGCTACCGGGTAGAAAAGCCATTGTTGCTTGCAGGCTTGAAAAATTCTTTTTCGCCTCTCCGGCGTACCTTTGATCTGTTGAGCGAGAGCCCTTCCACACGGGACTTCCTGATCACTATGCTCAAGTAAAAATGGAATTTTTGTATGATTATTATCAACATCTCCTCATTTCTCCCTTGTCATATATTCGCTGAAGAACAGATTGTTTTTTCGTCTCGAACAATCCTCACTCAGTGAGTTAATTATTGGAGTAGAGTCTGATCCAAAATCAAAAAATTCCTTTTTACTTTAATTTTTTCCTCTCATATATGTGGAATTTGATTAATTAAATAATCAATATGTAATTTGGGTTTGTAATATTTCATTCATCTTTTTGTTCTTATTAACCATACACACAATCGAAAACTTCAGCAATAGTTGTTGTCCACTTCGACCCCTGATAGTTGTTGATATGGTTGTCCTCTACCAGTAAATCCTTGATATGCATGACCTCTTCCACGGCCAAAATTTATTGCCAAAGGATCAAGTTGTTTCAGAGAGTTCACACCAATAGATTTGTCACTTTCTACCTCAATGATCATTGCATATGCCTGATTTACTGAAGGAGCAACAGTTTTCAGTAAGATCTGCCTCCTAGTATGATCATATGAATCGTTTAAACCAGATAAAAATTGCAACAATCTCTGTTCCTGAAGGTGTTCTACATAATCCTTCGATTTATCACATCCACAGCTTGGCACTGGTACAATCATATCATACTCATCCCATAACTCCTTCAACTTAGAGTGGTATATAGAAACAGAATCCGTACCTTGAGACATAGTAGCAATTTCCTTGTGTAGCTGAAAAATTCTCATACGATTCACCTTGTTGAATCTCTCCTTGAGGTCTTCCCACACAGCATGTGCATTGGATCCATATACTATTCCGTTCAGCAAGTGCTTCGAAACAGAGTTCATGATCCATGAATGCACAATGGCATCACATTTATCCCATAAAACCTTCAAATCATTCCGTTGTGTTTCCCTTTTGCAGGCTCCATTCACGAAACCGAGTTTTCCTATTTTGTTGAATCCATCCCATTTTTTTTGGTCAACTTTAGCTACTCAATTGGTACAAGCAATTGTTAAAAAGGAATAGTAATTGGAGTTGAAAAGAAAAGATTTGGTAGTTGGCAAATTGGTAAGATTTGCAACCATTTTTGACTTTGCTATGTTTACATATGTCATTAGTGACATAGGTATGGTTTTATCCTTCTATAAATAGAGCACTCTTGCTCATTTGTAGAATACACCAAGTTAGAGAGAAAAACCATTTTGAGAGCAAAGTGAGGTATTCCATAGACTATACAAGAAAATAGTCTGTGAAGAAAAATAGAGTGTGAGCGATATTTTAGTAAGACGGAAACCAAAAGAGTGTTGTTCCTTTTGAGTGTGTAGTAGTCACTTTGAGTATTGTATTCGTGACTACACAGTGTAAAATTCCTTACTATAGTAATATCAATTGCTCCTCTTAGTCCGCGGTTTTTTCCCTTATCCAGAAGGGTTTCCACGTAAAATTCTTGGTGTCATTATTTTCCTATTTTATTTCCATTACTTTTACCATATATATTTTTGTGTTTGTCCGCGTTTTCCCAACAAAACTGGTATCAAAGCCAAGGTTTTATCTGAGTATGCTCTGTGGTTGCAGCATAGTCTGAACTTCCACATCAGAAAAGGTTTACTTTGATTTGCGATAACTATATTTTTTTGGGGAAAACAATGGAAGTCAACACAAGTAGAATGGTTACTTTGAATGGTGTTAATTATGCCATTTGGAAGGGGAAAATGGAAGATCTGCTTTATGTCAAGAATTTTTATAAACCAGTATTTACCACTGTAAAGCCTGATAATATGACAGATGAAGAGTGGAATCTGTTGCATAGACAGGTTTGTGGATTCATTAGGCAATGGGTCGACGATAATGTGTTGAACCACATCTCTGGAGAAACACATGCCCGAACCCTTTGGGAGCATCTTGAAAGTTTGTATGCTCGAAAGACTGGCAACAACAAAATGTTCTTAATAAAGCAGATGTTGAGTTTGAAGTATCATGATGGTTCTCCGATGACAGACCATCTGAATAATTTTCAGGGGATTATGAACCAATTATCTGCTATGGGCATCAAATTTGATGAAGAAATTCAAGGCTTGCTTCTTCTTGGTTCCCTACCAGATTCATGGGAAACATTTAGAACGTCATTGTCAAATTCTGCTCCGGATGGTGTGATCTCTATGGATTCCGCCAAGAGTAGTGTCTTGAACGAAGAGATGAGAAGAAAAACTCAAGGTTCCTCTTCGTCGGATGTCCTGATAATTGGCCCCAGGGGGAGAAATAAAACTCGTGGTTCTCAGCATAGAGAACAAAATAGGAGCAAATCCAATGGAAGACTTAAGGATATTGAGTGCTATCATTGTGGCATGAAAGGGCACACAAAGAAGTTCTGCAGGAAGTTGAAGAGGGAGAACAAAAACAAAGAGGAAATTAAAGAAGATGGCAATGAAAATTGCCTAGCCACCGTCACCACCGAAGATCTTGTTACCGTTATTGATGCAAACATGATAAATATTGCTTGTGATGAGTCAAGCTGGGTTGTGGACACTGGTGCTGCATCTCATGTGACATCAAGGAAGAATTTTTTCTGTTCCTACACTCCTGGTGATTTTGGAACCTTGAGTATGGGTAATGAGACTGTTTCTAGGGTGGTTGGTATTGGTACAATTTGTTTGGAAACTAGTGTTGGAACTAAACTAGTTTTGAACAATGTGAAACATGCTCCTGATGTTCGTCTGCACCTAATTTCTGTTGGTGTTTTAGATGATGAAGGATATGTTAGTACCAACGGTGATGGAAAATGGAAGCTCATTAAGGGTTCCTTGGTTGTGGCTCGTGGTAACAAACGTCGTGGTCTATACTGGACTACGGCCTCTGCTTGTGTTGATATGGTGAATGCGGTTGGGAGCGATAA